GGCATTTACGTGTGTGCACTTTACAACGATCAGTAGGCAAATTTTCTTCAAATCGAGCCAGAAATTTGTTTTACTCTTTCAAAGGTTTGTCAGTCATGGCGGATATGTTGAGACCAGACCACCGGTCCTATCGGTTAACCAATCACAAATGTTTAATTTACGACTTCACTAACCGTAGCAATTAATCACCAACTTATGCATAACCAACCACTCCCTCTCACAGCTTGCCTACAGTGCCGCGGTTTCCCAACACACACACACACACACACACACACAATTTCCCACTTTGTGTGCGGAAAAACGCATGAAAAGGTCATTCGCAAGTGGAACATAGGCAAACATCTTCGGTTTTTTTGGAGATTTGCGAGGTGAATGAAGCTGTCTGCGTTAAACATTTCATTTTGTGGTGTTAAGTAGTGGGGAGATCGAGAGTGCTGACGTGGATTTTTTCTCTCCAGAAATCTCACCCTCACTCAGCCAACCCTAGGCGTGCATTTTTAGCCTCCCATGGCGATTTATCAGTGTGTGTTTTGCAGGAGTGTGTTGTGGTTGTTTTAATATACTCCACGAATTCAGTTCATTGCGTTCCGGCGCGTCAATTAAAGGCGTTAGCAATTTGCTTTAGTGGCTCACTGTGATTGGCTGGAGGCCATTCAAGACTTCCTCACTCATAATCCACACTCATTTAATCAGGATCTCTTGAGCCCTAAAGACCATGTCACAATTCTGAATCCTTAAACTACTCAGTATCAGAAGAGAGGAGATCAGTCTGTGTGTTATTTCGAACAGAAACGCTCGTCTTTGGTGCAAACCTGGGTCATTTCTACTTACAAATCAACCAATTTGTGCTCCTATTTATCGTTTTTAACGGCAAAACTCATAGCCGCGTTTCTCATGATCTACTTCTGTTCCTTTAATGGAATATTTCAGTCGTAGGGCCTCGAAATTCGTTGCTCCTGCAGCGTAGATTCCATCTAGGAATTACATCTCCCCGGAGATATCAATTTTCCCCGGGAAGAATTAGCCAATTGGAAAAGAACATGTTTTGGAGTTCTCCAGGCCAATCATGACGCACACATGCAAGCACGCTCTGAAATTTCGGGGTGATGCAACACATGGTGACAGGGCCGGTGGTGTCAAGGTCACACGAGGTCATTTGACCTCGCAGTATTTTGCAGTTGTCCCGTTTTAGTGAATTTGATGACGCTGCTTTTCTCCACTGCGTCATGACCTCGAATTTGGCAGTTAGTGAAATTACCGTTGACATCTGTCTAGATTCTCGTTGCTACTGATTGTTCCACATGGAGATCGTGTAGACCACTTACCCTGTTTCCAGAACTTGCAAACCAAAGGCAAACTCTAAGTGCCAGATTTGAGCAAGTATTTCGATTGACAAATCCGTTGTCGTGATTACCCGGCGCTATATGTGCCCCGTCCGCCCGGTTAGCGGACAGCGTTTGCCCCCTAGACTACATGGTGAGCCACCTAATTTCTGACTTGGGCAAAAGCAGACGCTAGAAGCTGAGACATGGCAGCATTAATTTGCCCCCCCCCTCCCCCGGGGTCTGTTTAATGGCCCAACTGCAACGCCTGAGGTGATTGGTCGAGGCGTAGTGCGAACAAGGTCATGTGGATCATTTAGTGCAGTTTTTCAGGCAAAAGTCATAAAAAACAACTTCTGACCACACACACACGCACACTTGAACGTTCATCCTGCCGTCGTCAGGTCCTTAACACGCGCAAAGTGGCCTCATTGCGTTTTGAGATTTCGGACAGAGGGATAATTGCCTGACCAGTAGACGGCAGTAACCAGGAAAGACGCAGCGTGGATTCTGTCTCGATTAGACAATGATTTGTCTAGGCTTGACCCCTGATCAGGTCTTGAAATTTGCCGCATGTCTTCTAAGAAGACCGTTTAAGCTAGAGACGCATGTAATTTGATAGATAATTAAGAGGACATCCAATAGCGAGGAGTGACTTGCGTATCCCAAGATTGCGTATCGATTTTTAAATAATTTGCACAATTTGAGGTCAAATTGTTCACTTAAACAAAAGGACCAATAAGTTGCATTTAACGTCGGAAATTCATCAGCTTAGCGGTGTTTGGTTTAAAATTTATAAAACAAAGAACATTTTCTCGTGCTTAATCGATTGAAATTGTCCTACTGGCATGGTTATGCAATCAATTTGATGGGCATTGACACGGTAATTCTTCGTCAAGTAACCCAGCCTCGATTAACACTGTCGCGGTGTTCTAAGTTACTGGTTTGATTCACAACCTCAGGTAGAATCGCTAAAAATCGATCGATCTTTGATTTCACAAGTACCGCCTGTCGAATTGTCCACTTATTGGTCAGTTGATTTCTGTCTCGTCCAATCAGATTCCTCTTTTCACACCTAATTTAATCACCAATTTCTTTAGCATTTCCAATTACCTTTCATTGTTTGCAAATTTAATTGCATCTAAATAAGTCACTCAATCCGTTTCTTTAATTTCTTCACAAATCGTGCAATCAGAAACACAAAGTTGCGTGTTTCTGAAATGTGTACAATATATTTGAACAAGGCGGCAAAAATGTAACATTCAAATTTAAGTTTATTTGAATGAGAGGTCGGAAAATTTTAGACACAATTTTCACGGTGATTCAACCCAAACCCATATATTAGGAAGATTAAGTGACGTGCACTCTTAATTTTATTGAAGAAGTAAATTTATAAATTTAGAAAAAATGGCAATTAGAATACGAAACTGGTTTTATTTGCAAACTACAGCGCTCGGTTCGTGCAAATTGGGGAGGCAGCGACGGAGGGACAGAGAGGGAGAGAGAGCAGGTTGCATTTTGCGCGGCAAACGTCAACAACAAAATCTGTTTTTCTCCGAATGATTTAGACGTAAACAAAGCAAATAGCGTTTGCGTCGGAGCGCGATTTTTCACTTGGGGACAAGCACTTGTGTCATGTGATTGCGCGTCGCATGTTCGGGCTTTCATCACCATCGTCATCATCGTCGTGATTGAGGCTGTCACAAAATCACGAGACACCTAATCCAACCGTGTGTCAGCGTGCTTTTTTTATCCCGAAAAGTGTGTGTTTGTGAGGAGGTGTGTCCAAAGCCTTGACACTGAGTCCGTGGCTTTCATTGGTCGGTTTGCATGCCCGCCGATTTTAAAAACAATAACAACAAGATGAGCTATTTCAGAGCCACCGTTTGCTTCGAGTTTCCAACACCATTAAAATCTGAAAATATGCTTTAACTCTGATTTCATTCGTCCTCAAATCCCCGCCATTGTTTAAACCGCTTAATAAAATGGCGGTGATTTTAAATTGGACGCGGTGTCTACATTTACTGACGATCACATATCCCCTTGGGAAATAAACCAGATGCCAATAAAGCAGAACAAGGGCAGTTTTAATGGAGTTGATTTGAAAAATGGCCGCTGATAGTGTATATAGTCGTGAAAGTGCTGGTTAACAACGTCGATTACACTTCAGCTGCATTTCAAATTATCCGATTGGTTGCGTTAAGCGCGCTTCTTTCAATTCGTGTGATTCGATTCATCATTGATTCCAGTGGGTCGACTAGAATGTTGGCTACCAATTTTGAAATGATCGTTATTTTAAAGAGTCATTGCCAGTACTTATTGCGTTTACGGAGCTATCAGTTTTGTGCTAATGTTAGATCAGCCCACGCGATTTTTATTTAACACAAACGCAGCCCTGGTTAAGAAAATTTTCGTTAAATCTGTTACCGAGACATCTAAAACTACAGTAAGAGAAATGAGAAAATGCCAAAAACCACCATATGGCATGTTAAAAACTTCTAAAACACTTCATTTACTCGTTGTTTTAAAGCCAACTCCAAATCATGAATATCGCATTAAGCTTTAAATGCACTTCGCAAGTATTGATTGGTTGGTCTGAGCGCGCTTTTTTCAATTCACGCGGAACCCTGCATGTCCGGAGGGTTTTTTAATTGTCAATGTCCAATCACCTTTGAGCGTGTATGGGCTGCATTTATCCTCGGTGTAGTCCCTCGCAAAATTCTTAATGAACCTTCAGAGACCTAGTGGCATTGATTTATTCATTCGTGACATACCGAGGTTGCATAGCAACGGCCAAAATCACATAGATTCGCGTAAACACGTACAGCCATCATTCATTGGCAATGATTTATTGCCGATTTACACGACTACGAATAACGTTCACTTGTCAGATCACACGCACACACACACACCCACAAAACGCAGCATTTGTGCGTAAGTGAATGGCTCACAAGTGCGAACTTGGATCGTAATTTTGTAAAAAAATTTACTACACGTGGGACGGTATGGATTTATAGGAGTACCGGCTGTGAAACTGGCATAAAATATTCATCGGAGTGTTCTGTGTGGGAGACAGAACAGTCTCATTTCATGCCCTGCATGCATAATGCGCGGAAGGCAGGCTAGATAACTAGCTCCTAGTTCTCCATCGGTCGCCTGTGATATAAAAAGTTCTACTTTTATTAAATAAGTACAAATGTTATCATGGACCTGGGAGTTTATCACTGGGGATGTAACATGAGATGCTGCTAAACAAAAATAACATAATTATCACTGCCTCCTATTGAAAAACATGAAATGATTGTACTAGAACAGACGTTATGTAACTAAGCGGTACACCGCATTTAACTTAAGTGATTTTTTAAAAAAAAGTAGAAATATTATTAGTTATAAATTTAATCATTTTGTTTCACTTAATTTACCGTTTTCTGACTGTCGATTTTGGCAATATTTAATTCCTAAACTGTACTGTGGACGCAAATCAGTATTCAGAGGGCAAAAGTGTTAAGTAACACCATGATCAACTACATGCCACACTCACCTGCCAATGCTATTGGCTAGCGTGTGCCTCTCCTCGCTTCTGATTGGTCGCCCTGTGAATAAAATTCTGTTGGCCACTCAACCGTCTCGTTAAAACGCGAGTCAATTCACGCGGGTTCCCGTGTGCTCACAGCATGAATGCTTAGAATCATGACTGGACTACCACCCCTACTCTTCCTCCCCCTGTTTGTGTCCCTTGTGTGGTCACAGGCGTTCCTCTTGCAGGACTTAGAGGAACTCTCTGATCTCTTGTTGAGCAAGGGTGAGCACGATCAATGTTACTTGTTAATCCAACTTTTTTTAAAAAAAAATATTTAAATGGAACAACTAAATCTGCTTTTTCTTTCACGGCAGCATTAGCTAATTTTTCATATTTTTCTACTTAGCGAGTCAATCACGCAAACAATTCACTTAATATTATTGTCGCGATTTGATAAATTACAATCATAATAGTAATAATAATAAGAGTGCTTAATAGTTTAGTAATATAAAAAAACCTTTGATGAACCTTTTGAGTAAATGTCGGTACGAATCGCAGAGTAAGACGCTCGTTTTACGCGCCACGGTTTGTTTAAATATGCCCAATAAGTTAGCACACTTAAACAAACCACCAGCTGTTGCATGTCTCCCGTCCCATTGCACCGTGTGCAACCCCACTGCATGTCTGGTGTTTAGTGTTGTGTGTAAATGTAGTTTTTTTTGTGTGTGAACTTGCTTCTCTATTTTTCCTCTGACAAACAATCTTTATTTCCTTCTTTTTCGGTTACCCCCTTTTCACTCGTCTTGTGGATATCGATTTTTATTAATTTGGTGTTGTGTGCGTTGTAAAGTGAAAGCAGACACATGGGAGCAAAGTGAGGTGTACCAAGGTGATGACGCAGAGCCAACTGCTGGGGCCTCCCAGCCCATGTATTATGTTCCACGTAAGTGACCTTGAACGCATTTTAATCCACCCCCGTTTCAGATTGATTTGATACAATTTTGTCCAATCAAAACCCTAGAATTTTAGCACCCGCTGGATCCACTTCATGAGGCAGTTAAGTGCTTTCTGCTCTTACGAAGTTTAGATGCCATTTTCGTGAGGCATTTAAAAATATCTTTTTTGGGAAAATCTGCGTTTCGACCAGAAGTACACCACATTTTTGAATGGCATTTCACACAGTTGTTTTACTGAGCAAGCAAAAAAGAACACAGAGGCGACTTCACCGTAGTATTCAGGAGAAAAGTGATCTTTATCTGGTTTGAATTTCATAAAAAGCGTGAACAGACGCGAAACCTTGAGCTACAAACCGAAATTTTGTCATGGAATCTTTCGAAGTAGTTACAAAACAGGCCTAGTGTCTGATTGTAGGAGTACAATTCTACTCTTAATAGATATAGATGTGTAAAATGAGGTGATTAGCCGAAAAGCCTGTCAATAGTCGAGTGAATTAGTCGAGTGTCGCGGAAAAAATTTTACCAGTTGTAACTGAAAACATCGAAGGCAACTAATGGACCGAGGGAATTCCCAGAGGGACGCAATTTTAACCCAAGGAGAGTTGTGGAGCTGGCATCAGCTAAGTACAGGATACACGAAGCCATCTTCCTGCCCAGGTCAGAACGCACGTGACTTCTTCGTCGAGGTAATTTGGTCCAATTTTGTTGCATTTTCGACATTCCTAGAAAGGGTCATGTAAAAAATGAGAAAAGCATGCGTAACACCGTACACCGATTATTTTGGTGTTGTGATCTAATTGGCTGTGTGTTCTGTGACCTTGTGCGTTAGCATGACAACAAAAACATGTTGGGTTCTCGTGTTTAGCTAAATCGGCTTCTCTTAGCGACTATCACCTGGCGTTATCTACGAATGCGTGTTGACATATATTCTTATTTTTTGTCTTATGGCAACACGAGATTAGGCTTAGTGTCTTATTTCCTTTCAGAAAAACCGCGAATAGTACAACCCCTCAAATCGGAGACAGTGATTGCTGGCCAATCCGCGTTGTTCACGTGCATGGTCGAGGGGAACCCGTTCCCTCGCGTTCAGTGGACGGTTAGTAATTCCATTTTTTGACAGATCACTCGTTTCCATTTAAAAGTGCCCCTTTTCACGCCTACGCACTTAAACAACTGCAAGTGGCGGGCTTAAATCGCTTTGTCGGTTTGCCGAAACCAACGAATTGAGACGGAGCCGAGTAATTGTCAGAGAGATCTGGTTTCAGCCCAGTAAAATCAGTTGTGTCAGTAGCCAAAAAAAATTTTTTTACCGACCATTTCAACCACACAACAACCCAGAAGAGATTGACGTGGCTGTCGCTAGCTGCTCTGGGAACTCACAAAATCACATAGCTGATTATAAATTACCGACATGCGTGTGTTCCGCAAGATTTAGCATGAATCATCGATAAACTGCAGATTGGATGAGCTCCGCCTGATCAATTTAAATCACCCGACTATTTTGTGGCGAATCAAAATGGGCCATTTTCTCACCGCCCAGTCATGCGTCCCGCAGAAGTTTTAAACATCATTCATGGCTAGCGAGCGACGTTTCGTCGTCTTGACAGTTTTATTCAAGAAAATGAAAAATCATTAATTCAACGCGGATGTAAAAATGAATTCTGAGGGCGAAAGCGATTTCATTGGACAGCAATCTGTTTTAAATTTCACGACCCCGGAATGGTAACTATAAAACCAAAATTTAATTTAAAAAATAAAATAAGTTTTTTTAACTGTGGCTAAGGTCCGTGTTGCGATCTCAATTGTCTATCTTTCACGTGTTGTAGACTGAAAATGGCGATTTGAGTAGATATCTCTGTCACTTTATGGGTGTTAGATGGTGATAACATGGTAGCATTTTATTGTAATCACTGTTCACTCAAATCCACAAACACAGCTTTAGTATATATAAAAAAATTTTAATAAATCACCATGAGAAATATTCGGCGTGCGTCCACAAAAGTTGTTTTCACGCCTGGCAAACTCACACATGAACCCATGTCAAAGGTTTTAAATCAGACCTTTTATTTGGGCATTAAAATGCTGCTTTTGTGGTGAAACAAACGCCGGCTCCGGAAGAAGCATAAAGTCTTAATATGCCCACATCTCACAGCACGGCTAACACTCAGGGCGTCTTAAAACCTAACCCGACATTTGAGGGAATGATTTTGGGGAACAAAAATGGAGGTTATTAACCAATCAAAATTGCCAATTACTTTTTCGCTTTCCCCGAATCTGTGGGTAATGCTAATGCTGTCAAATCACTCACACCTTCCCCTCTTGGCCCTCATACATTCATACATGCATCTGGGGCTGATCCCAAAACGAGGCCTATTTAAGAGAAAAAGAGTTCATTTTTTGCGAAATAAATCAGATTTTTGTCTTTTCGTGGCAAAAATTTTACAGGTTTGCACTTTTAAGCGTCTTCTTTTCCACTGATTTAATCGCTGTTCTTTCAATGCCGTAACAGAATATGCAGCCGTGTCGGCAGCTGGGCAAACTTGAGTCCTAGCGGGCATCTAGCTCGTATTGAATCGCCCAATTTGTAACCAGGAATGCAGATCCAGTCATTTTCGATGATGTTGGAAGCTTGAGACAAGTCTTAGGGTCCAGTGGCTTGTCTGAGGTTGCATAGGGCTTCGATTTTACTCAAGAGCCTGTTGAAATACGTCGTGAAGCAGTGACTGGATTGATAAACCTGATCAACGCCACGTGGAGCAATTTCATTGGCTGGAGCTCTTAAAAGACGCAGCGCTCTGTTGCATTTTCAGGTCTCCGGCATGTCCGCGTTGGCGTCGCCGAGGTTCGGCGAGGTCTTCACAATGCCCCGGGGTTCTGTTCTGCGAATAACCAACGCTTTGCCAACCCTTCACGGAGCTGTGATCGCGTGTATCGCCGAAAACGCACTGGGACACGCCGAGGCCACGGCCAGACTCTCCGTGTACCAGAACGAGGACGGTGAGTGCAACCCCATCAAACGTCAATCAATTTCTTTGTCGATTTGAACACATGTGTTGTGAATCGTGTTTATTCAACGTCTTAATCCGATCACTCCATCCTCCGACACAGGGCTCCCCTTTTTCGCAGCATGGCGCCAGCCGCCCAAATCCTTAACTCCCTCTTCATTCACACGAGTAGGTATCTTGGATTAACCTCACACCTAGGTCTCGATGTTTGTGCATCTATGACTCACACATCCTAGGTATAAATACACACACACAAACCCCGCACAGGAACCACGTCTTCGTCAAGTTCTCGAAAAAACGGTTGACTCTCTGTCCTTCCACTGACTTCGTCTTTGTTGGGTAACAAGTGATATTTGGCCTCTCAACACATACAAGCAGCCGCGCTCACACACACATCCTACGGGAGTTTTTAGTGTGTTTTAATGTCCGCATAGAGCTCTGAGCATGCCCTTCTAGTTCCGAGGGACGGGGAACTGTATCGACCCGTTCGAATCCACAGACAGAGCAACGTGCTTCCAGTTAACAGTCGAAGCAGTGACCTGAAGCATCCAAAACCCATGATGGCAAAATCCGGATTGAATGCTTATTTTGGTGTTGAGAGTCAATGTTTCAGCCAATTACTGATTCCTTGCCACAAAATGTGCAATTTATTTGTGCCTGACATTTGATCACATTGAGTTAGTAGAACTAACCAATGAACAAACGCCTATTCATGAGATCCTGACCAGAAATCGATAAGTCGGTTATGGTGGCCCTTCCAGTAACTTTCTCCACAAATTACGACAACCCACTAGTTATAGAAACGCATTTATTGATTTATTGATTTAATGAAGAGCCAGAATATTGTCCTATTGTCCTCTTTCGAGACACGCATTTGGTTTCAACAACTCTAACGCTTGTTTAATGCTTCTGCCAAATATTTTTAGCTACGTCGGTTTCGCGACAGACCTTTAAATTGAAAAAAAAATAACATGAGATGGTGATTTTTTAAAACACGCATGTTCTATCAGATAACGGACTTGCGATTCGCACTTAGCTAGATCAATGATAATGTTTAATTTACGCGCTTATTAATAATTGGCAGCACCTGATTTGCTTTGCGATTGGCTAGTCAATCAGCAGGGATTCTACTGCAGGTTGATTGGTGGCTGTGTTACACGAGAAAATCGATTGTCATCGCGTTATCCAATTAAAAAAAAAGCGAAGACAGTCTTGAGCCGAGGTAATAAATACCATCTAAGGTCATTTCGGCGTGAGGAAGACACATAGAATTTCACGTTGCCGCACCGCTACTTCTGCCAATCGCATGTTTCTTTTGCTCTGTGTATTTTTTCTACTAGAAATGATTTCTCAAGTGTGGTTTGAATGGCTTAAGCATTTGCTAGCCACGGAAAATGCCCAGACAGCCAGGCACGTGATTTCTTGGGCTAGTGAAGCACCGATTGGTGCCGTGATTGGCTGATTTTAAAGCCTTTCACCAATCCCCGCGTCAGCACAGCCTTTCCCTTTAAGAGTGTTTAATTAATCTTCATTTGCTGGAGAATGAATAGGATGATGTCTCCGCAACTGTCAATGTTAACTTCTCGAAAAATGTGTGCGAGTCAGTGAGACGGTCTTAATGAGACTTACGGTTGCGCATTAACGTCAAACCGTGCAAATAGCTCTTGCTTGTTTAAGTTCGTTCTTTCTGGACATTTACCTGACGGTTTTCTCTCCAAATCAGCTGCACCTACGGGCTTCCCGAGATTCCTCAATGTCTTCTCAGTCATCGTCGCGAAGAAGAACGACAAGGTCGAATTGGAGTGTCGGACAGAGGGCGATCCGCCCCCCACAGTTCGGTGGTACAAGGACAGCACCCCAATCGATCTGGTCAACGCTCGCTTCCTAGTGACTGGTATGTCATAATACATTTACCAACTGGTGCCAATGTGAGATGTGATCAATCGATTCACCGAATTTTATGTGTGTGTGAACCGCCTGTCTTTCAAGGCCGAGCTAATGCATCTGGCAAACGATTTATTCAAAATTGGGAATAATAGTTATATTTCGCCACTTGTGCAATTGTTTGGGTTTAAAAAGTGAGTGAAAAGCAACTATAACGTGGTTTATTCAATTCCCAATCAACCATCACCACTTGTAGACCTTTGATCCCTCATTTTCATTGGTTGATTACAAAAGCACGTGCTCAATTGTCCAGAACACGCCATAGTAAACCCCAGATTACCTTGTTGTCGTCGGGGTCACCAACTGTTGTGGGCCCCAGCATGTGGTCTTGAGCCACGCCGGGGCCACGGAATTAACCCTGACCCGATTTCGCCTGCCTGATACCCGCGATGAGGGAAAAGGCTAGAGAGGACGGACACAAGCCTTTACTTCAGAGGTCAACCACGTTGGTGTCGTGTCGTGGGTATTTATACCTTGGATGTGTGAGTCATACCTGCGCTAACATGGAGACCTAGATGTGAGGATGCTCCAAGATAAATATTCGTGCTAATGAGGGGGGAGTTGAGGATCCGCGCGTCTGGCAGCATGCTGCGAGAAGGGGAACCCTGTGTAGGAGGTGGAACGACCGGATTGGGGGGTTGAATAAACAGGATTCACGACAACCTGTTAGACTGCGCTTCGGAATTTGCTGCGACTTCGATACATTTTGAGTACACACGTTTTGACAGAAAAGAGCACACCGCACCGTGTTTCCATAGCGAATTTTCTTCTTACACGTCAACGAAACGAATCTTACGTGGATCATGGCATAACTGAGCGTGGCAAACGGTTTGTGTGTAACACGACAACCACGAAGAAGCTGGAAGCATGGAAGTGAAGGAGTGGAATCTGCTGCAAGTGCTGAAGTGCTTCATCCAGTGAAAGTCAAGTTAGGAGTCTAGTGAATGGATTCCAGAGAAAGGATTTTGTCCCAGCTTCTTCCATGTGATAAACCAATAACTGCAGAGATCAAGTCGCCTGACGTAATGTTGAAATTCAAGCAAGTTGGTCGATCTAGAAGGCATCATCGTCGCTCAACATTCACCGCAAAAAACTGAAGACTTGATACTGGAAATCTCCCAGCATTGTCCGCCGTGCTCCCCCTTCTTGTTGCCTCGACTCTTGGAGAAAATCACGGCACAGAATCCACCTTTTATGGCAAATTGCAAAGGCATTACCTTTATTAACCTTTTAGTGCCTCGTCCGATGGTACTTTACTGTCGTGGAAGCCATTGTCGTGCAACACGCACACTGTCGTGTCTTACGCCGGACGGAAATTCGTTGTTTGCGTTCGCTGTTTCCTGGTTAGCAGCCATATCCACATAGCGTGATATCTGATAACGTTTTAGCTTTACATTAGGCCAAGAAATCAACCCTAGCAACCAGTGATTTCCATCTGCGATGTAGTACAAACCGAGCCTGATTTCTTTTGGTCAATTTAAGGTGTCAGTAACAAAGTTGGACGATTTTCTAAGAAGGCTCGTTTAGCAAATGAAGTGTTTTCTCATGAGAGCGAAGCTCGTGTGAGCGAAAATGTGTAAATTGTCCAACAATGATTGGCTAAAATTGTGGCAATTTCGAAAATGGTTCAAGTCAATCCTTTGCGAGGTGTCCACACTCACAATTGACCTAAATTCTGGTCGACGTCTTGAAATCGATGATGACTACATCACAGTAATAATTGAATCGGATCGTGTGATTTGAACGACGCGCGCTTAACTCAGCCAATCAGCACTTGCAGTGAGCGCCCCAGATGAAATGCGATCTTCCCGTTTCGAAATGAGTCATCACTGTTGATGCAAAAGAGGTCGTCCTCATTAACTTCAAGTGGAGCTGGTCTCGGTGTCAGCAAAATGTGAATTGCATTTGAAAGTGAATCTTGGTTTCGTTTTTTCTGTAGTTCAATTCATTGTCACGCCGACCCTGAAATGGACAGACAGCTCGCGATCGATGATTGGTCAAAATGGAGCGTGCGCAACTGAGTTGAGCTCATGCTTTGTTGCATTTTGCACAGCAAAACCAAAACTAC